ATCTTACTTGTCTTGCCGAGCCCTTTTTAGGGTTTAGGGTCCCTAACTTTAAAGTTGCGTAATGACTACCCCACCGTTTAAAGGTTTAGGTTAAGGTCCCTAAACCCTAAAGTTCCCTCATGACTGCCCCACCTTTTACGGGTTTAGGGTTTAGGGTCCCTAAAATTCCTCACGAGAATACTGGCGCTTTTTTTCGTTGGCGGCAAACCCTATCAAAAATAGGTCCGTGCAAATGGACGTGTTCCATATGGGCACTTGCAGAGACATACACGCAAAGATTCACCACATGATGCCTTGTGCTCATGGCCTGGCACACCTCCGCGATAAGGGCGCCGACAGCGCGCCTCTCAAAGTGAAAAGTCCTTTCGGCACCCTGTGGGAAACCTCTATCGCGTTCGGAGCGTAGGTCGTGTAGCCGAAAGGCACGTCGCATATGCCGGACCGCCAAGATGCTGTGATGTACTCGCCCTCTGTCTCAAAATTGTTCTTGCGGAGGTACTTTTCCATCTCCGGTTCGTTCCAGTCCGTATTCTCCTCTTTGCTGCGCATCCGTTGGAAAATTGAGCTCCAAAAGCAATGGAACTCTTCGTCGGAAGGAAACCCAGCAGAAAACTCAGTGAAGTCGATGATGACTGGCAGCAACTCCATGTTCTGGACTAGTGTTTTGCACCCTACCTTTCAAGGGTTCTTTAATTTGATTAAGGTAGGTTTTGTGGGCCCAAGCCCTAAACTAACAACCCAAAGCTCTTGACAGGCCAGGACTTATACTTATACCGACCGGCATGAACCCTAATTGTTTCCGGGCAATCTTGGCTTCAGTTTCAGTCTGCTACTTGTTTGGAGCTTGTGAGAACAAGGTATCCCAATATACGGGTCTGAACAAGCACCAAGAATTGCCGTGATATTCTGTCTAGAAACTATAGTATACCGCTACAGCCCGCGAGTTTGGGCTTGTGGCATAATTAAGGGCGTCCAGGAAGTGGACTTCTAGTTCTACTCCCATAAAAGCCGGCATGGCCTGCATTTCTACTTCCGCTGCTACTGCTACTGTTGGTCTTAATACGACGAACTACGACTGCGACGTAAAACTGCAAAGAACTTCAGAATTCAGCTCGTCAGCTGCAGCCATCTGCAACCCATTGGTCGATGACTTTTTCGAACTTTGAAGAGTGAAAACCATGAACCCACGCCAAAGCACTAACCCCTCAGTGCACAAAACCTAAAACTCTAAACCCTGAGCCCCCTATACATCACGAACCCATAAACCCAAACCCTAAACCCTAAGTCCCGAGGCCTTGCACGGAGTACAGCTTGTCGCCGCCTTTGTAAGCAACCCCAACTAAGTTTCCCGGTTTAGGGTTTAGGGTTCTCATGGGACTCAGACAGTACTTAAGGGCCCTGGGGGCTTAGAAAGTAGGTTACAACTGGGGTTATAAGTGCCAGACGTGCAACCTTTATGGAATCTTTAGCGGGACTTAGAACTCCAGTTTTTCCTACTTACCGACTGCCCTGAGCACCACAAGCAGCCCTTGACACTTTCTCGGCACTTAGATTTTCGGGTTCAGGGTTGAGGATTGAGAGGGTTTAAGGTGGTTGAGGGTTTAGGGTGCAGGGTTTAGGGTGGTTGTCCTCTTCAGGCAAACTGAGAAGGGGCCCTGTGACCTAGTCCTTTGAGAAGCATCCTTCAAGCAGCCACCTTTCTTGGGACCTCTGAGACGGTTTTGGTGTTTGCGGGGCTTCAGGGTTTCAGGGAGTTATCGTCAGTCTCACAGCAACACTGTGCAACTTCGAAAGTTAATCTTGGCGAGCTGCTGCCATGCAATATCAACGTCGGGCATTGAAAGTCCTTAGCGGTCAAGTGGACACTTTGGATTTCCAGGCGAGACGGTTGAACCCTGTCCGCTACACAACCCTCTACCCTAATTCCCTAATACCAAACCCAAACCCTAAACTCTGAAACTTTGCACCCCCTAAACCCCAAACCCTAAGCCAATAACCGTATAGCCTAAACCCCGAGAGCCCGCTACCTCTTAATTAAGAAGATACCTTGAATTTTACCGGGCTTCATCTTATGATTTAAGCTATATTCCTTCATTCAGGGGCATTCAGCTCTCTTGCAACCCTGCACCCCGAGCACTCCCAGGGTTACAGTTCTGCCCTGACCGTGTATAGACTACCGAATGCAAGGCATCAGGCCTAGTAAAACACTGCTTGAAGGGTCCCTTAAGGACGAAAAGAGCCCTAAAAGGGTTTAGGGATTCATAGTATAAGGGTATAGGGCCCCTGACTTTTAAGGTTCTTGTCGTCCTTAAGGTCAGGGGACAGAGTAAGTAGTATAGTAAGTAGGTAATAAGTAGAGTTCTAAGTACACTAAAAGGGATCCTACTTGGGATGTTACTTATAAGTCTCTAAAAATCACTACGTATTGAGTCCCCCGACCCTCCAAGTAAGGCGGCGCATGTCGGCTTGACATAGCAGGATGCCCACGGTTCTGTTTAGGGTTTAGGGTTTAGGGCTTAGGGCTCATTAGGGACCACATACCCCCTGAACCATAAGCCTTAAACCCTAAACCTTAAGCCCAAAACCCCAAGCCCCAAGCCCAAAGCCCTAAACCCCAAATCGTAGGCCCTAATCCCTAAACCCTAAGCCCTAAACTCTAGACCCTAAGCCCAAACGCCTAAAGCCAAACATCACACGTCCCAAATCTCCTTAGAGGCCCAGGAGACTCGGCAGTTAGGTTGTACCTGGCTTGTGAGCCCCCTACCTTAAGGACGAAAAGAGCCCTAAAAGGGTTGCTTTTAGGGCTCCTTTGCGGGTTCTTATATGGGTTAGTATGGGCTCTATAGGATTTAGGATTTAAGGTTTAAGGACGAAATGAACCCTAAAAGGGTTTAGGGTTCATATACCATATAGGATTCATAGCATAATTCTATAGGGCCCCTGCTTTTAAGGGTCATTTTCTCCTTAAGGTAAAAATGGGATTATCCTCACGCAGAGCATCCTAATGGCAGAACCCCTAAGATGATCTTAGAAATAGATCCCCTAATTCGGGCACGATGCTACGTATTTCCAAAGCGTACCTGATACCTGGACGACCAAATGACCCTTAAAAGCAGGGACCCCTATACAATTATACTATGAATCCCTATATGCTATATGAACCCTAAACCCTCGACCCTCAACCCAAAACCCAAATCTCTGAACCCTCAACCCTGAACCCAAACCCTAAACCCTTTTAGGGTTCTTGTCGTCCTTAAGATAGGGAGCCCCTTAAGGATCTACTTCTTGGATCCTCCGAGGATTCTAGGAATTCGAATGATACCTATAACCTGAACCAAGCACCGGGGCTTGCAACTCAAACAGACCCTACAATCCCTTGTCAAACCCAACCACCCCTACACCCTATAGAACCCTAAACTCGATCTATCTGCCTATCCATCTATCTATTCATCTATATATTAAATAAAAAAAGTAAACAGAGATATATATATACATATATATATATATATATAGATCCTAAACCCTAAAGCCTAAGCCCTGAACCCTGAACCCGAAACCCTAAACCCTAAACCCTCAAATCTAAACCCTAAACCCTAAACCCTAAAACCAAAAGTTGAAACCTAAACCCTAAGACCAACAGTTGAAACAAGTAAAACCCCCTGAGGCTCCCTGCCTCGCCGTGCTGCTCAATGGACCGAACGAGCCTGCCGCCATTTTTAGCGATCCCGGGGAAACTCCGGAAGGATCTAGAAAGAGCGTTTAGGGTTTAGGGGTTTAGGGGTTTAGGGTTTAGGGTTTAGGGTTTAGGGGTTTAGGGTTTAGGCTCCTTCAAGGGTTCCTCTGAGGGTTCAGGGTTTGGGGGTTCAGGGTTTAGGGTTTGGGGTTTCTCACTGGCCCAAAACCCAAGGAACTAAAAGTTGAAACTTTCAGAATCGATTACCTTGTAAGAACCCCAAAAGTTGAAAAGTTG